CAGATGAGGAAAAGGATGGACAGATGGATGATGGATGGATGGACGGATGGATGGATGATGGATGGATGGACGGATGGATGGATGGGCCAGTCTACCACCCAGAGCTGCAGTAGCCGATGCAGCAGGAAGTATCCACTGCCTGTGGGGCTCTGCTCCCCAAATGCTAAATCTTAGTGACTCTGGGAGGGTGAGATAAGTCTCCAGCGTAGACTGAGGAAAAAGAGGCTCAGAGACCTTAAGCCATACGCATGAAGCCACACAGGAAACGGTGGAGAGAGCATCCGCCTGCAAACTCTTTCCACACACAAGCGTGGATGCTCCCCTCTGGCTCTCAGAGGAGGGAAGGGGGTGCTGGCTGGTGGCTTCTGCTTTGGAATGTGCCCCCCCGCCATGGGTAGCAGCCCAAGGGAAGTCCATCCAAGCCAGAAGCTTCTTAGCTGACCCCTCCTGGGAGGGGACCGAAGCCCAGCTTGGCCCCTTTTGTGTCTGTCTGGAAAGCGGAGGTCCTGCCCCATGAGGGCTCCAGCTTCCACCCCCGGATTCCAGTGGCTTTCAGGGTCCCGCCAGGCCCTCCAGACAGCTGACATTTTACATGGTTCCCCCCCCCCCCTTCTCCTGTGGTCAGCGCTGGGCGGCGGTAACAGGATTAAGCCTGCGGAGGCAGATCACTTAATTAAACCTCGGGAGGAAGGAGCTGTCTTCTCTCCTCATTGGGCTGGGGCCAGGGGAGGGCCCAGGGGCCTCACAATGCACCTGCCGGAGGAATCCCGGCTCCTGCTGTCCACTCCGGCTCTGCCCAGGCCGGCCGGACGACCCGTCATTATCCCGTGCATCCTGTCTGCACACAGTGGCCAAGGCCCTGGAGGACCACATAGCTAGGGCTGACCATTCTTGACCGCCTGTGATCAGCTCCTCGTTCATGTCCCACCCAACAGCGGGAGAGACCCTAACACCCTGGGGTGGGCTGGCGTCCCTGCCCTGGCTCTGTCCCTCCACCGGCGATGCTGGACAGGCACTGGGTCCTCCCATCTGTAGCTAGGGGGCCCTGGCATGAAAGGGCAGTCTGCGTCTTGACCTTCGAGCCTAGGCCCCTCCCACCAGAGGGCGGAGCCCGGGTCTGGCCACGCCCACCAGAGGGTGTGGTCTGCCTCTAGGTTGGCCAGTAAGTCGCAGAGCTTGCAGACTGCAGCTCCAGGCGGCCGGGTTGTGGACTTGGGGGGCTGAGAACATGGTGGCTGGTGATTGTTGCCTGTCATCTTCCAGACTGTCGTACTCTGGCTGCTGAGTGATGACAGTACGCCATATATGCTGTGAACACTTCTCTCTGTCTTCAGGCCATCCTACCAAACAGGTTGTGAAATTAGCCCTAGCTTGCAGATGGGGAAACTGAGGCCAGGGTTGGCGTTGTCCCAGAGGATGGCAATGGGATTTGAACCCCTGGGCTCCCGGCTGGCAGGCTTCTTCCCTTGGTGCTGTCCACGCTGGCCCCTCCACACCTCGAGTCCTCTCATTTACTGTTCCAGGGGGGTGCACGTGGCATAGGAGAAGGAAGTCATGATCTTCCATGGGGAAACTGAGGCCTGGAGCAGGAAGTGAGCCTGTCCAGTGGGGACAGGGCTTTGATCAGAGGAGTGCCCTCCCTCCCTCCCTCCTTCCCTCCCTCCCCTCCGTGCAGCTGGGCCCCCCAGGGAGGGGCGAGGGGACAGTGATGGATTCGGGCCAGCCTTCCTTTTCATCCTTCCCTCTCTCCTCCCCCTCCCTCCTCTCCTCCTGCAGACTTGACAAGTGCGAACGGCTGCGACCCAGAGAAATTATCTTCCCTTCTCCGCCGCCGCCGCTTCATTTTCTGCCCTCTCGTCTGGACAAGCCTGGGTGATTTTTAGCTACAAAAAAAAAAGGGGGGGGGGGAATTATCATTCAGGAAAAAAAAAAAAGAAAGAAAGAAAAAAAAAAAAACCCAGGAGGCTCCTAGCCGTCCAACAGACAGGCTGTCTCCTGGGTGAAAATGAAAATCTCAAAAATCTCCCATCTGTGAGCTGCAGGGAGGGGTGTTCACACCTATGGGATGACTGCCCACCCCAGGCAGCCAGGCCTGCAGCCCCCCGCCGATTCCGGCGGCTGGAGGCACCTGCGGACTTTTCTGGGGGTACCCCAAGGATGTGCCACATGTGCCCTCCCCCCAGGGCTGCAGGGGTGGTGGGGGCAGCACTATGGTGCCCTCCCCACCACTGTCCAGTGTCTTGCAGGGGTGGCTGGGAACAGCCTTGTAGCTTTCTGAAAGCTTCTCATCTTGCGCCTTCTGCACACACATGCACGGCACCCCCCCCCCCATGCGATGGGGTCCACACAAGTTGGGAGGAAAAGTATTACTTATTTTTTAATCTCTATTTACCCGACTTAAAAATTTCAAGCATGAGGGCTGGGACCTAGCCTTACTTAGCAAGTGTACCATCCTGGGTTCAATCCCCAGTACCAAAAAAGAAAAAGACAAAGAAATACAGTTAAAACCTCAAGCACGAGAAAAAGCTTTCTCAGCAAGTGGAGCTCCATCTATCTTTTCCATTTTTTGAGGGGTTCTCAGGTATTTTTGTGCTGTTGGGGGTGGTGGGCTGGTGATGAACCCCACCTAGGGTCTGGGTTTGCCACAAGCCAACAAGCGAGCACCGCATGCCATGCGGGACTGAGGACCCGAGTGGTTTCCATTAAGTCCAACGTTTTGGTGGTCACAATCACCACGAGGCGAGGAGCCCCATGGAGAGGAGGGTATGTGGGTCTCCTTCCAGGGAGCTGAATACCAGGGGGCACCAAGGACCTAGCTGCAAGCTATCCTTTGTTGAAGAGGAAATGCAAGGTTGGGTCCGAGCAGAATTGCAGATGCTTGGCTTTGCCAGCTGGGGGTGTTCCTAAAACCTGCTGTAGTCCCCCCCCTCCCCGACTTTTTTTCTTTGAAGGGCTGTCAAATTACTGGTTACACTGGAAGGGAATTTGGGGTGATCACAGAGCAATGGAGAAATGGCCCCTCCTGTCAGGGAGAGGTGCGGTGGGGTGAGCTCAGGGGACCTGCAAAGGCAGGAAGCTGGTCTAGGCCGTGGGGCGTGGCCCAGTCTGTGATGCAGGGAAACAATGGGTGGGTGGGTGTGCACGTGGTCTAGGGCCTTGCAGTAGATGCAGCCACTGAGGTTTACCCTCCTCCTGCTCAGGTATCTGTGTGCAGACACTATAAACACTGCCCTTCCCTTGACCTTGCACCCTTCCATCTGGAATGTTCCAGGTCCAAGCACCACGGGACTTGGTTGAGAAGCATAGAATCAGGTTTCCTAGCCGGGAATGGGGCAGCTAGAATGTTCCAGATGATTCTCAGGCAGCTACCTGGCAGCCTATCTTTCCTGAGTCCTTGGCTGTGGATGACCGCAGCGCCAGGGCTGAGTGCCCACTGCTGTTTGTCCACGGAATGTCTGCTGGGTCCCGAGAGGCAGGGAGCAGCGTCAGCATTTAGTCAGCAGCACTGGTGTTGGGAGGGTCTCTCCTGACTCCATTGGACCACCACTGGTGTTGGATGGAAAACGCAGGACTCGAACCCCGTGCTTCTGGATTCATAGAAGGGGGCTCCCACATGAATGTCACACAAGGAAGGGCCAAGCAGGGGAAAGTAAAGACCCCTTTGCACATCACTGCTGGCCTTTTTTGCATGCTTCTGTCCCGGGGAACCGAGGCCGAGTGGCCATCGTCCACAGTGTGGCACCCAGTGTCACTACCCATGATGCAAGGGGGTGGGAAGGTCTCTCATCTAACAACGGTGTGATCCTTTCCATCAGGCTCAGCCCTGCCTTAGCAGAGGCCTCGGGGACCCCAGGAAAGCCACTGCTGCGTGATTCTTCACCATGGAAGCTCCCACCTCCACGGCTCCTTCTAAGAGGCTGTCTCCCTGCCAAGGTCGTGGCCACCGAGGTCAGCCATCCACGGCCAGGCTCACTGTGCCATCCCAGTGCCCAGCAACCTCGCCTGCCCGGCACCGGGCTCTGAAGACACCAGAACACTGCTGGGCCTAGTGGCAGAGTGAACCTGGCTCCTGCAGGCAGCGTGGCTGGCCGCGGCCACTGGCACAGGGGCTCCAGCAAGTCCGGGCCCCACTCCGCAAACCTTCCTTTGCTCCGAGTTTACACCTGGAACACGCTGGATTTGGAGCTCATGGCTGTGCAGGAAGACTTGAGAAGCAGGGGTGTAGAGGGGCTCTGGGGGACCCCTCTCACTCCTGCTCCATCTGAAGCAGGTGAGCCTTCCTCCTAACGACACCACGTCCTTTTTCTTTGCTGCTGTTATGAGGCTTGAACCCAGGGTCTGGGTACTGTCCCTGAGCTCTGTTGCTCAAGGATAGCGCTCTACTGCTTTGAGCCACAGCTCCACTTCCAGTTTTCTGGTGGTTCACGGGCAACAAGTCTTGTGGACTTTCCTACCCAGGCTGGCTTCAAAACGCGATCCTCAGATCTCAAGCCTCCTGAATAGCTCGGATGACAGGTGTGAGCCACCGGTGCTCGCTTCAGCCCACCTCCTGCCCCCGTCCCTCTGGGGCCCAGGGCCTGGGTGGTGACTTACCTTGGAGAACCCGTTCTGTGGAGGCCACTATGGATGGAAGGCACCGGAGCGAACTGGAGATCAGCAGCGCGGGTGACAGGCACCTCCCCTCCCCAGCAGGTTTCCAGGCGACACGCGTCGGCCGGTCGCTGTCAGACAAACCCTTTCCCCGTAAGACAGCGGTCCCGAGGGGGAGAAGGGGCCAAGTGGGACATTTTATCAGGCGAGTACACATGTAACCAGGAACGGGGCTGAAAGCGAAACCTGTCTCCCTGAATAGGGGACGGAGGGCGGGGTGGCAGCCGACGTATCGCTGCCCGCTGGGGCTGGCGGGAGCGTGCACCGGGCCCGGCTCCCACGCTCCCTCCTGCCCAGGGGGAGAGCCTGCGCGCGCACCTGTGCGACAGTGGATCCGGGCACAGAGTTGAAAAGGCATCTTGATTTTGTATTGAGAAGAATCCAATATGCACACAGTAGGAAAGACACGAATGGGAAACCCTTTTAAACCAGCGGGAACTGGAGGACCACAGGCTCACTCGGAACTCCGTCTGTTCTGTTTCTAGTGTTTCTGTGCAGGTCCTGGGGCTGGAACGCAGGGCCCGAACGTAGTCCCTTAGTATTTTTGTTTTTGCTCAAGCTAGCACTTGAGCCACAGCTTCACTTCCGGCTTTTTGCTAGTTAACTGGAAATAAGACCTCGGGGATTTTCCTGCCTGGGCTGGCTTTGAACTATGATCCTCAGACCTCAGTCTCCCGAATGGCGGAGCTCACAGGCCTCACGTGAACCGTGGGTGCCTGGCTTCTTACTGGGCTTTTGTTGTTGATGCTGCTGCTGCTGCTGCGGAGACAGGGTCTTGCTATGCAGCCCAGGACGGTCTTGAATGTGAGATCCTCCTGAGTGCTGGGATTATAGAGGTGAATCACCATGCCCGGCTCTCACTTGGATCTGGAGATCTTTCTGCTCCTGCGTGGGAGAATGCAAAGTGCCAGGAAGCCGGGTTTCCTCCGTGTTGAAGATGGAGGCCTGGGGTTGGAGGAGGAGGAGGCCACCTCTGCACCTCTGCAGGGCCAGAAGCCAGGGTCTCAGCTCTGTGCCACACAAGGTGGCCGTTTCCCCTGGACCTGGAAAACAAGGTAAGAGAGCACACGGTGAAGGCCCTGCGCGGGCCTACAGTGAATGTAACCAGCCCTGCAGGAAGTCACCAGCCCATGCTGGCGGGAGAGCAGCCACTCGCCCCATGGCTTGGGGGACACGTGAGGGGAGGAGGGGAAGCCGGGGGCAGATCTGGGGGGTAGGCGCGGGCCCCTTCGGATGCCCGTGCGCACTGGCCAGTGCGGGGCAGGGCTCATCCACAAGTTTGTGAGATTCACAGAAATAGAAAGTTAGGGGTGGAGAGAGAGGACGGGGCTCGGGAGGAAGGAAGGAGGGAAAGGAGGAGGAGGAGGGCGTGGGGGAAGCGGGGGAGAGGTGGGCAATGCACGAACCCATCTGGACCATGCCCCACATTAAAAATTCACCAGCCAGTGAAATTTCAAGGGATTTGTAGTAATTAGATGACAAAATGCTGGCAAATCTCAGGCTTGCCAAAGATGTTACTCAGGGGTCAAAGACTTGACACTTTCGGCTGGGTAATTTGTAAGTGTCAATCACTTGCAGCCATCAGAGAGAAGTGGAGATCTCAGGCCTGCATTCTAAGTGAGCGGAGAGCGAGCCGCCCGCCCGCCCGCCCGCCCGCCTGGCCACGACGCGCGTCCCTGCTCCAGCTCTGTGCGGGCCCCGCCGGGGACTCGGCGCCACCGCACGGAGGCCTCCAACTTTTAGCCGACTTTGCCCCCTTTCCATCGCAGCAGCTGCTTGCCAAAGGCCGCTCCCCCCCCCCCCCCCATCACCCAGGCACCACCGAAGGGCGAGACTGGGCTCTGCCCTTGAGCGGTGTCCGGCATCCCGGCCTCGGTATTCACACCTGCACAGTGGGGGTGAGAGTATGGGGGGGGGGGTTCACAGTGACCAGGAGAATGGGCCCTTCCCTCACAGAACATTCTAGATGCAAGAGGAAGAATACGTAGGAAGTTGTGTTGATGAGTGCAAAGTGCTAGGATTCCCCCAACAAAACTAAGGCCCGGAGAGCCTGGTTACAGCTTTGTAACCAGAGATGGGGGGGTGGGGTGGGGGGTAGCCAGGCCAAGCCCGGATGGGCACAGCTGGCCCCAAGGCTGTGACTGGGTGGTGTTGAGAGACCCCGCCACACCGGTCCAGCCTCTGCACGCAGCATCATGGCTGAACCGCACCCTCGGGTACATCTTCCTGATCCCAGATATTTATTTTGGGGGGGGGGGGGCGGTGGTACTGGAGGCTGAACTCAGGGCCTTGTGCTGTCAGGTAAGTGCTTTCCCACAAACCTAAAGCACCTGGTCCTTTATTTGTTACTCTGTTTTGAGATAGGGTCTTACTACTTTTGCCCCTAAGCTGGCCTGGAACTCTTTAAGCTTCCCTGCCTCCACCTCCCAGGATTACAGATTTGATTCTGAGATTATAGGTGTGCACTACCACACTTGTTTTTCTTTTGTCACTTGTAGGGCTTGAACTCAGGGCCTGGGTGCTGTCTCTGGGCTCTTTTGCTCTAACTAGAACTTTACCTTTTGAGCCACAGAGCCACTTTGGGTTTTCTGGTAGTTAACTGGAGATAAGAGTCTCACAAACTTTCCTGCCAGGCTGGCTTTGAACTGGGCCATGCTTGATTTTTGATAATTTACTTAAGAGGAAACTGAGGTACTAGATGTCCAGGGAACTTGACAGGTAACTCCACAAACTGAGGGCCTGTCCTCAGTCTCCCTAGGTGTTAGAGGAAGCAGAGGAGAAACCCAGGGCTCAGGACCTTGGACTCTGACCTGTTTACTTGGGGACAAGGCCTTGGTGCTCCTGAAGAAACCTGTCTAAGACCACAGAGTGGCAGGGCCACCAAGTGTCACAAAAAGCCACATCCTCCCTCAGGAGCCGGGAAGGTGGCTCAGTGGTAGAGTGCTCGCCTAGTATGCATGAAGCTCTGGGTTCGATTCCTCAGTACCACATACACAGAAAAAGCTGGAAGTGGCGCTGTGGCTAAATGTAGAGCGCTAGCCTTGAGCAAAAGCAGCTCAGGGACAGTGCCCAGGCCTCGAGTTCAAGCCCCAGGACTGACCCCCCCCCCAAAAAAAAGCCCCCCCTTCCCCGGCCCGGGCTTCCTCTGCCCCAGCGGAGGGCTTTCAGCTGTGCGAGCTCAGGCCAGGGCGGCAGCTTGCGGCTGGAGAGGCGACCCGGCCCCCGCAGGGGGGGTTGGGGGGGGGCGCTGTCTGCGGCTGGGCCATGCGTGTTTGCCCATTCCGGTCACATCGTGCTCACACCTGCCTGCGGCCACTCTCCTCCTCAGACCCAGTTTGGGGCAAAAGCCTTGCTGATTAGTCAATCTGGAGCTCTCTGCCTGTGAATTACCGGCCCTCATTGATATTCATGAGCGGATGTGGAGGGCTCAGCCGGCTCCACGTGACGCCGCCCAGCCCGGCCGCGCGGCCTGCCACCGGCTGCGGGGACCGCATGGGCGGCATCGGGGGTGCCTCTGGCGGACAGAGCTCCATCTCCCGCGGTGGCCTGGACGCCTCCACGTCCAGATGACGGTGTGGCCCCCAGATCCCACCGTGGCCCGGCCATGCCTCCCGCGTGGACCCTCGCACCTGACTTCTGCCGGAGCGCCATTTCCCCATCACCACCCCCGACGCGCACCGCGCTGGCACCGGTCCCTGGCCTTCCGGTGTCTGGGAACTTGTCCCCCCCCTCACTGTGCGGGGCGTCTCCTGGGGTCCTGGGCCGCCCTGGGGGCTTTGCCCTCCCTGTCAACAGTGGGGGGGGAGGCGGGATGTATGTTGAAGGGACCCTCTCCCCACCCCGCCTTGCTTCCGGGTTAAATGCTGGACATCCAGCCCGGACAGCACACACGCACTCGGACCCCGAGGGGCAGGGCAGGCGGAATGATGCACGCGCTGTGCACGCGGGAGACTCCGACGTGGACTGCGGGCGGCTTACCCAGAGCAGATCACACACCAGGCCAAAGCGAAACCAAATGGGGTTGCTGACCACTACCCTGGCTGGAGCCCGCGAGTCTGCCGTGACCTCGGGAGCTGTGGGAAGAGCAGGGCCGGGAGGACGTGAGCTGGACCCGAGCCCTCCCCGGGGCCCAGTGACAGGGCCCAGGGGTGGCTGTGTGCGGGACCCAAGGGGGGCGTCCCAGCCGCAGCCCTCACAGAACCAGAGGGAGATGGCTCACAGGAAGTCGGTGTGGACTGGGGGGATGAACAGGGGTGAACGGGGGAGGGGGAGAGGAGGGCAAGGGAGCTCCCCAATGATGTAGGCCAAAGATGGGGGATGGACGCGAGGGCTTCTGGGGTGCAGGGGGCTGGCCCCGAGCTCTGTGCCTCTCCACAGCCCTCTCCCTGCCAATGGAGCCCCGGCAAAGGACCCCAGAGGTGTGGACCGAGTGAGCATCTCTCTGGATCCTTTGCCTCCGGCTGGGGGAGGGCATCAAGCCAGAGAAGGAAGCAGCCCCGAGACAAGGACTTGCCCGGCCAAGGTGGGCAAAGCCACCGAGTTAACCAGCAGCGCAAGGTACGTGTGAATGATGGAGCTGAGACCAGAGCTTCCCACGAAGGCGACTGGGAAAAGAAGAGAGCGCAGGGCCATGGAGTCCTCCAGCAAGTATTTCCTAAGTACCAAGGACACCGCGGGGGGGGGGGGGGGGTCAGGCACAGCACAGGCCTGGAGCCTGCCTGGCCGTGGCCCGCACACAGACGTTAAACCGCCGAAGGGGCAGGGAGAGCGGGGTACAGCCTGGTGTGCCTGTGGTCGCTGTGACACAGGAGGCTGAGACAGGAGGGCCATGTGAAAATGCCCACCATTGGAAACAGAAAAGAAGAGGGAGGGAAGGAGGGAGGGAGGGAGGGAGGGGGGAGGAGGGAAGGAGGAAAGGAGAGAGGAGAGAGGAGAGAGGAGGGGAAGAGGAAGGAAGGGAGGAGGAAGGAGGGTAGAAGAGAGGCGAGGAGGAGAGGAGGGAATGGAGGGAGGAAGGGAAGGAGGGGGGGGGAGGGAGAGGGAGGGAGACGTATTTGGCGCCATGGGATCGCCTACCCAGGCTAGACTGTCCACACACAGTCTGGAAGGCGCTCATTTCAGTGGCTGGGACCCGTTATTAGTGAGTGAGGACGGCAATCTTTTCTCGTTAATCCTGCGGGACGAGAGACTCCCTGTGGGAGGAGCTCAGAGCGGCGGGAGCCAGGGACACGTAAGCGCGTGTTCCATTTTCCGCCTGGAACCCGAAGGGTTAAATTGTTTCCATTAAAATTTAACTTCCAGTGCTGGCTGGCTGGCTGGCTGGCTGAGGCGCGCTCTCCCTTCCCCGTCCTTTGACTGGCAACCATTTCATATTTCAATCTCGGCAGAACAAATTGAATTAGATGTTGAAACCCGGCTCGGCTCTGTTCACCAAAGCCTGTGCGCCCGCACCCAGCTAATCCTGTCCTGGGTGCTTGGAGCACAGTCTGCTCAGCACCAGGGGTACGGACGGAGGGAGGGAGGGAGGCCGGGGTGAGGAGGCCAGGCACACACACCCTGGTGTCCCCTGGCTCTCTCCTCGTACTGGGTGAATGGCCAGTGGGGACCTGGCCTCTGTGTCCGCTCCCCGGGGGTGGGGGGTGGGGGGCAGATGCAGGCGCCTCCCACAGTCAAGGGACCTGGGGTAGAATCTGAGCTCCCAGGTCTCAGGGCCAGCAGAGGTCACCTTGGGGTTCTGTCTCACCCTGGATCTCCCCGTGGTGGGGTGGGGGTGGTGGCTTGGGGTTCTATCTCACGGCTTTCTGGCCCTTCTTTCAATCACAGATCTGTCCCCTGGCCTAGCACGGGCCCGGGCTGGCCTGCCCACAGCATAGGACCCACAGCTGGAAAGGCGCGGGAAGCACACACAGCAATGCTACCGCTGTGAGCCGGCCTAGGCCTCTTCTGCTCCCACCAGCCCCTTCCCGGGCAGGAGGGCTCTTCTCTGGCCCAGGGCCTCACTTCTGCCCCAGGTCTGCACAGGGCCCAGGCTGGCCTGCCTCCCCCCCCCCCCCCCCCCCCCCAGCTAAGGCTTCATCTTCCTGGGCCTGCACTGAGGGCAGGGCAGACTCTCCCCCCTCCGCCCATGATGACCACTGAAGTGACCGATAACAACACCACCATTTAATCAGTGTTGACAGTCTGCTGGGTGCATCTATACCCAGGATTTTCTGACAAGATCTTTGGTCTTTTAAAGAAATTCCACGAGGCCTGCGCCCATAATCCTCGCCACTGAGGAGACTGAGATCTGAGGATCTTGGTGGAAAGGCAGCCTGGGCAGTAAAGTTCACGACACTCCTCTCCCACTAACTGGCAGAAAGCTGGAAGTGGAGCTGTGGCTCAAGTGGTAGAGCAGTAGCCTTGAGCACAAACAAAAAAACTAAATCTCAGGGACAGCGCCCAGGCCCTGTGTTCAAGCCCTGAGATTGGTATATGCACATGCACATACACGCACACGCACACACACACACACGCACGCACGCACACACACACTCCTACAAAACCGGCATCCATTGACCAACCTGGAAAGGGAGCTCAGAGGTGGAGCCCTGCAGATCCCCTGCCCAGCTCTTGTGCCCACCTGCTCTGCCTCCTAGCACCGATCTCCAAGCTGCTGCCCCCACTCGGCGGCTCTCTCCTGCCACCCCCCTTCTGCCCACCGGCCTGGCCTACCCCGTCTCTTCCTGGGTCTCTCGTGATGGATTCTGGGAACTAGTGAGATTAGAAATGAGCTATGCGCATTTACCTTCTGCCCCAGATTTTCGGGGTGAGCCAGGCCTGGTAAGGCTCGCCTACCACATGGGAAGTGGGCGCCAGTACTCTGTACCTCGCTTGGCATGGGGTCTGGGCCATTCCCTAAGCCAGGTAAGGACCGGAGACACGATCCCACAAAAATGCAGCCCGGACCAAGTCTCATGCGCAAAGCTGAAAGATTCCCCAGCCAGAGACCCAGATTCAGAGGCGAACAGAGATGCCAATCTTGGGGCTCACCTGCATCTCTGGTTTAACACCAGCATCGGCCCATGTCACACACAGCCCTGCCCGGCGGGGGGACCGGCTGGGGTGGCCCCTGGGAGCGGTGGTGGTGCTGGGGCCAGCTGCAGGGTGGCGGTGCCCACTGGGTCTCCTCTGCCCCCGTCCCCCACGGGCAGGGCTGCAGCGTGGCACTGTGCCTGGGGGGGGCAGGGCCCCAGCTCCCGAGGAGGTGTGGTCACCATCGCTGGAGATGTAGACCGACACGAACCTGGTGCCTGCACCCCGATTCAAGTGCGCCCCTCGCTGTGGGTGTCCCTGGCCAGCCTAGGGCCAGGCCTAAGCTGTGCGTCCGTCCTGCAGCCCGGCCCCTGGGGCCTTCCGCCTGGCTCCCAGGCCCTGGCCTCCCTGATCTTGAGCCGGGGAGCTGCTGCCCCCTCTGCCCAGGGCCCTGGGCCACGTACCCTGGCCGCGGCTCACAGCGGGAGGGCCTGCTCCTCAGACTCGTGCTCACTGTCCTCCAGCTGCTCCAGGATCCCGTCCAACACCGCAGACCGCTTTTTCTTCGGGGGCTCTGTGGGAACCCAGATGGAAGAGAGGAGGAAGGAAGGGCAAGAGGGTGGGAGCAGTGGAGGGAGGGGGGAGGGGAGGGAGAGGGGAGGAGAAGAGAGAAATATTAGTCTCCAGTTTCTCCCCATGGGGCATCCCTGCCCCATCTTCCACCCCGGAGAGTGAGCGGCCTCCTCCCTGGGGGCTAGTGGCTAGGCCCGGCTGGGCAAAGATTGGGGAAACGAGGTAGCTGCCATTTCTGTTTCCTTGGAGGCTTTGGACTAAGGGTACAGTGTGCAATACATGCCCTGTACACGCATGCAAAGCCCAGGAGGCTGTGAGGGATGAAGAGCAGAAGGGCTATCTGACTTGGGCTTTGACAGATGCAGAGGAGTTCTTTGTAACGAGGTCGGAAAAGGGAGCTAGGCGCCCAGGAGGAAGGGGGCGTGGATGCGGCCAGTTCCCTGCTGTTTCTGTCTGGGTGCCAGCCCTGTCCCTGTCCCACCTTTCCTCTCATCCTCCCCTGCCCCTGGCTCCATAAATGTGGCCTGGTCTTGCATTGTCTAACCATCAGTGAAAGGCTACTCATGGAACCCGGCGCCAGACTCTGGCGCTGGCATGCGCCCCCTGGTGGTAAGACCCTGCGATACACAGCCACTCCTGCACCCCCGACCCTGCAAAGCTGCCCCATGCCGCTCCCCACCGCTGGTGCCCAGAGCAGAGCCCGACATCTGAGCTCAGGACAGGAGGACGAAGCAAGGTTCTGGGAGCAGCAGGTGGCACAGCTAAAGGCACCGGAGACACTGCCTAACTGGGGAAACCGAGGCCTGGGGGAGAGAGAGGCAGACCCGTCCCGGTGGAGTGCCTGTGCAGGCCCCGCAGCTCAGACAGGGCGGCTGGGGAGCCCGTCTCAATTTGCCCAAGGTGCTGTGTCTCCTGAGGGGTCAGCTGGGGGCCGGAGCTGAGCCCCAGGTCCTCCAGGCCGGTCCAGGCCGGTCCGATCTGGCTGCAGGGCCTCAGGAGCAGGTGCACCCCTGGGTGTGTGTGTGGGGCCTGGCCATTCTGATTTTGCTCTCTGTAGAGCGGGAGTTCTGACGGGGTGCCTTCATTTCCCGAGAACCCCCGTCTATGATACCTGCGGTCAGGAGCAGGGCACGAAGCTTGGGTTCAAATCCAGCTCCACCTTGACAAGCTGTGCACCTACAAGGCACATGCTTCGCCTCTCTGTGCACCTCATCCTCATCACCCGGACAGGCTTGGACATGTCCCCCAGCTTAACCATGGTGGTCAATGCTGCTGTGCCATGGGGCGGGGGGGGGGGGGGGGAGATGGCAGGTGACCTGTCACACTGGAGGCTAGGTGGCTGGAGTTCGGGGGATGCCACCCTGCCCCTCCCTTAGCAGGATCGAGAACGGGGGTGCCTGGGGCCGCAAGGGCGTGGTGGTGACCCCTGGGAATGAACGAGGTGGGGGACAGGCCGGGCGCGCAGGCCGCTCCCCACGCCCGTGTGCCTGGCTCAGGTCCTCGGGGGTCAGAGTTCGGATGGGAACCCCAACCGCGCAGCCCCCAGGATGCAGCGGGTCCCGAGTCATCCCCGCTGTGCCAGGCCAGGAGCACCCCATGGCTCAGGAGCAGCGACTGAGATCCAGCACCCCCCCAAAGCCCCAGCCAACAGCTTCTTCACTACACAAACACAATGTGCAACCAGAGGAAGGTGGGAGATGAACGTGCCGCACCGCGCCACGCGCCGGTCCCGCGTCACAGCTGCACCCGGAGATAAACAACAAGTGACTGTCACCAAACACCAACACCCGAGAAATTAACTTGACAAAAAGCTCGGCCGTCCCCCAGCAGCCCCCCCCGGCCCGGCCCCCTCCTCCTCCCCTCCAACCACCACTTCTGCGATTCTGGAGTTTCTACCTAATGATTTTATTTTTCAATTAATTCCTTGACAGAATGCCAGCCCGCGTCTCGTGTCTCATCGCTCCCTCCCTGGCTGGCGTTCTGTCGCCCGGCGCGCGCGAGGCGCACTGGCGGCGGTGGGGAGGTGCGGGCGGGGGGCTGGGCGGTGGAGGACAAGAGAAGGCGCTTTGTGGGGTTTTGTTGTGGAGGCAGAGGCTGGGAGAGGCGAGGCGAGGCGGGGCGGGGAGAGAACGGGAGGGGAAGAGCAGGGCTGCACCGGGAAGGCGGGGCTGGGAGACCTCGGCCAGGCCACCGAGGATTCATCCCAGCCAGACGGTTCATCCCACCGCGGCCTGCGCCTCGGACACTACTCCAGGACGTGCTCTGGGGAGGCTGAGGCAGGAGGATCGCGGGCTGGGGAGTCTGAGGCCAGCCTGGACAACAGAGCGAGACCCCGTCTCTGGAAGGACGTAACCGGAGGCAAGATGCTCATGACCACAGCGAGCACCGCTGTGGCCCCTGCGCCTGTAACGCAGGACAGCCGTGCCAGCCTGGGCGCCCGTCAGTGCCCGCCAGGGGTCGGCTCCAGGGTGGCCCTCTACGGCGAGGCGGGGGGATGGGCAGCCGGTGTAACTCAGGGCCCCCTGAACCCTGCAGTGGGGCCTGCTCGCCTCTCTACTTCCCGAGAACAGACTGGGTGCCCGGAGGGGACCAGGTGGGACAGCACTGTGGACCCCGCCTATCACAAGCCTCCTAGCCCTTCCTGAGGGGACAGCTCGCCCATCGCCCTGCAGGGCACCGAAGCCCAGGGTGGCTGCGGCCAGGGCTGTGGCCTGCAGCAAATCTTTCAAGCCATGCCCCCGGCCCCCCCCCCCGGCCCCCCCGGCTTTAGTCGGTTCTCAGCTAGCTGGCCAGGACCCGCATCTCCCCAATCTCTGCCTGCTGAGCGGTAAGGGGTACAGGTGTGCGTGACCCTGCCTGGCCCCAGACCTGATTCTTAAGGACGGGTCAAAAGCTGAATTTCCCACCCAGGTCTTCCAAAAGCAAAACGAGATGATTAATCCCAGTATTTCCGTATTCCCATCTTGTGGGCAAAATGCAGACCGGAGTGGGGGCCGCCAATGTGGCACCCGAGCTCCTCTCTCCCCTCAAGAGCCACGGAATCCCCCTCCTTCTGCGTGTGGCTGTGATGCACCTGCTGGTCTCCCGACCACACCCTGCTGCTGGCCACACCCTGGAGGGGAGCCCCCTCTCCTCTCTGGCCAGGCCCCAGGCCCTCGTCCAATCACGGCTGGGCCCTGGCCCCTGCCCCTCCCAGGCCGCCCTGCCCCCTACCTCCCGTCAGTCTAATTCCATGATCAATGAGGAGGAGCCGGGCGATGGCCTGGCACAGCTGGCTTCCCCGTTAGCCCTGGTGGGGCTTCCCGGCCTCGCCGTGTCGGCTGAGTGAAATGTTTGCGCAAGGCAGGGAACACAAGTCAATAACAATTTCTCTGGATTGGGAGTAAGTACCTTCTCGCACGCGCGCACGCGGACAGCTGCTCCCAGGGGAGGCCCCGCACGCGGGGAGGACCAAGACCAAGGGCTCAGAAATACTGGTCTCGTGCCACTGGGGGAACCTCGGCCGGCCGCCTCTGCCCTGGCTCTCCCACGGACCCCCCACCCCCGGCCAGGCCTTTGCAGCCTGACTCCAAATAATCCCACGTCCTGATTCTCCTTCTGCTCTGCAGGGGCCGGGGCGGGGGGGGGGGGGGAGGGGGGGGACACTGGGGTCTATTTGGCCCCCTCCGCCCATCCTCGTCCGCTGGGAGGCCTCCTGATCTGGTAGCAGCTAGTATTACAGGGCTTGGCCACTGCCTGCTGCCCAATGTGTCTTCGCATGGTTAAAATCTGAGACGTGATCACCTCTGACTCCTGCCTTGGCTTCCCCAGAGTTGGGATTGTAAGTGTGCACTACAACACTCGTAACCCGCCCCCTCCCCCTTTTCTCAGTTAGCAGGGCTTCTGGGCATGCCCTGACCAGCCTTGTGGAGCCCAGATCTCCGCCCCCCCCCCGCCCCCCCCCCACCAGATGGAAGATGAACCAAGTCAGCACCACGCAAGGCCTGGCACATTCTAGATGCTGGGCCCACACTGGCCACCCTGCTGACAGCGCCGCTCAGGTTCTGAGTGGTCCTCTCTCACCCCCACCGTCACCGAGCCCCTCTGTGACCAAGGCTCAAGGCCAGGCTGGCCAGGGCCTGGGGTCAAGCAGGTGGGCAGAGAGTTGTAATGGTGCCCGTGAGCCTGTACCGGCAGGTGGGGCGGGGGAGCTGAAAGATGCAGGAAAACCACCCCGGGAGACGCTGCGGCTGACCCTCGGGCTGAGGCCTGGGCGGGGACGGCCGTCGGCCCCCTTCCCCGCAGGCCGGTGGCGCTGCTTGGGCGGTGGGAGCGTTTTCTGCGGGCCTTCCCCTCCGTCTCCACCCCCGCCGGCCAGGCTCTGCGCTGCCAGCCACTTGCCATGCCGGTCATGCCTGCACTCCCGGCTCTGGAGGTGAAAGGTAACCGGCGCTAACCACAGCCCGTCAGGCCTGCCCAGCTGGAATAAGACAACGCAAGGAAGCAGAGCCATGCTCCCGGCCAAATAAAAGCCTGTTTGCCCGGCCTCCCTGGCGGCGAGCGCTTAAAACCAAGGGCTTGGCGGCCGATTTCCTCCGTGCCATTATGTTCTCTCGGTTGCTTGCGGGGACCCGCGGCCTGCGGGGCCCTGAAAGCCTGGCGGTGCTGCGACCCCGCTGGGCTGTAACACGCTCGGGAAGAAAGGGACGCGGCCAGGGGCGGACTTCCCTCTCCCCCTCTCCCTCGCTCCCCTCCTGGCTCTCTCTTTTCACACGGCACAGGCCAGGCGCTGAACAGCAGCGCTCCGCGGGCCCCGGGCTGCCTGTGAGAAATGTCATTCTTGGCCAGGGAAGGGAGGGGAGGCAGGGGAGGCTGGCCTCCATCCTCCCCTCCCAAAGCACCCTGTGTGACTAGCCAGGTCTGGGCCAGCTCCAGGCAATGTTTAAGACAGAGAGAGAAGGATCCCCTGATCAGGCAGGAGGGAGGAAGTGGGGGGTAGGCAGGCCGCCCTGGGGGCTGAGCTGGGGTGCAGCACAAGCTTCCTCAGCCAGCATGGGGGTGGCTTCTGCTGGCTCAGCACTACGCCTTCCCTCCTCCCGAGCACACCTGCCCTCAGCCAGGCGGGACTGCCAGCGGGAGGGAGGGTGGGACATGGGATGTTGGGGGGGGCATGAGCCGGGCACCATCATCTCCTGAGCCCAGAGATACCCCAACAGCAACGCGGACCCTCCCCCCCCCATTACGTCTACCATCCGGAAGCCAAAGTGGGGACCGCCCAAAGTCATGGGCACGAGGAGCCAAGCACTGCACACGGGGCCGGCTGCGCAGCTCGCCTGGAGGCCCAGCACCGAGTCGCCCTTCCGCCCGGCGTGGCTGGCTGCTGGCTGCCTCCCAGCAAGTGTCCTGCCCTCTCTGCCTCTGCTGCGTGACGAGCTAAGCACGGTAACGTTAGCTCTCCGTGGCGCAGGACTGAAACGTGCCCAAGTCCACAGGTGGCACATCTGTCATGGTAACTGGTACGATCTGGCTTCACCCCAGCTCCCCGGTGACCCTGGAGGGGGGGGCACGAGGCTGGCCCCAGGGGCGCAGGAGTGTTTACGGGGAACCTCAGCGCTCCGCTGGTGAACCAAGGCTTCCTCTGGGACCAAGGACCCATTCTGGGGCGGCAGGGTGCAGCCGTGCCCTGGCCCGGCCACCCCGACCCCTGGGCCCCGGGATCTGCTCTCAGGACCTGGTGGCACCCAGGAGTGCCGCCAGGTCCTGCCTGAGGACCGGCTAAGATGTCGCCTTTCATTCTGTGGTCCTCATCCCAGGAAGCCTTTGTAGTGACCGCGCTGGGTGGAAGCTCCCCCCGTGATCAGAGGACACAGCGCCTTCCTGGAGAGCCTGGGGCTGGCTTGGAGCAGCATTCCCAGCTCACCCCAGCCCAGCTCCACCTGGCCCGCGGTGTGCGCCTGGGCTGTCGGGAGCCAGCGGCCCGCGGGACCTCTGGTGCCACGCTTCGCGCTGGGGTACAGCGAGGCTTCCCGGAGCTCAATGTATTGAAGGCTCCCCCCCCCCCCCGCCGCCGCCCCGCCCCGCCGTGCGGGCCACAAATGCTGAGCCCACAAGTCCTGGCAGCCCCGGGTGGGGGCTGCGCCTCCGCTCCAGGGAAAACCTTTACACAAACATTTGCCGAGCGGTGCATTTGGGTCTGTCAATGCCTGTCGATGGCGCAGGCGGGTCCTGTCTGCGCGTCAGCATTTGGGGAGTTATTGAGTTGTGCGTCTGCGACTGCACAGGGGACCCAAAGACAGGCAGAGTGCAGACAAAGATGGCCTGGCCCAGGCACATCACAGGGGAAGAGGAGAAGGAACAGAGGAGGGCGGGCGGACGGACGGACGGAACGATCGCCGACACCTGGGCAGGAAGGAAGGCTTCCTGGAGGGGGTGTGAGGCATCTCAGACTAGCTTAGACTAGGCATCTCTTAGACTCCAGCCCTGCACTGGAGAGACAGCCCGTGGGAGGGGACAGCGTGGGGAGGAAGGTGTGTGTCTGGAGTGTGTATGGGGGGGACAGGGACGCACTCACAGCCAGGTGACTGTCCCTAAGCCAAGGCCCCACAGCGGGCAGAATGTGGCAGCTGCTCTGCCTGACACTGAGGGGAGACGCGGAGGTGGGTGTGGGGGTGGGGGCGGTGGAGATGGGATTCGAGGTTCCCCCGTGTGCCGTGGCTCAGCCTCTCCCCTCTTCCTACCTGCCTGGCACACATCTAACCCCCCATCTCCCTCCTCAGCCCCAGCTGCACTGGCCGCCCCAGTCCCCCCACCCCCTGCCTGCCGGGCCCAGCGGCGACCCCGGCATAAGAACAGGGCCGACATGCAGCCATCCGGGTCACCACGCAATGCCCCCTGTGAGGAAGGGGAGGGGCTGGGCCAGGGGACCCGGTGGACCATGGCCCAAGCCGTGGATGAGCAGTGTGGCAGGAAGGAGCTGGGATAAATTCCCATCTCTGCCTCCGGCCTGGGCACCATGTGCCCAGCTCAGGGACAGGGGACTGGGCAGTTGGGAGCGCGGCCCACAGGGCACCGCGGGTGGGCGGGGCCCCGGGCACACTCACCGTGGTAGCGCTCGGCCGTCTTCCGCCGGAGGGCCTGCAGGGTCACCTCGGAGTCGGCCCACTCCAGCACCAGCCTCCGGCCGTACAGGTGGGTGCTGTGACACAGGGCGTTGAAGGCTCTCTGTCGGAGGACGAGAAACGCAGCCCGTGAGTGACTCAGAACCAGGGCTCCCCCAGGCCGCCCGCCGGCTGCCTGCCGGGGACTCTGGCCCCGGTGACCCTGGGGGACATGATGTTCTGTCCCTGGGGGGTGACCCCGTTAGCTGGGCGCCCCTCCCACCGATCTGTCGGCGGCGGCTGCGGCCGTGGGAGGAAGCCTGGCTCTTTTTGGTCATCGGATGACAGGTGTGAGGCCCCGACTGTCACCCTGTCGCCCTCCCTGGCTGTTGGTGGCTCGGGCCCTGTACTGCTGTTCAACGCGCTGCCTCCCTGCCGTCTCAAGCTGACTGCAGCCGGGGCTGGCGCTGGCCCACATCCTGCCCTTTCTACAGCAGTGAGATCCGATCCCCTTCCTCTGCAGGAAGGGAGGCAGGCCCTGGTGGTGGGGACACAAGAGCCAAGGAACTCAGGGCTGCCGGCCCCTTCCTGGGCCAGGGGGACGGGTTCTCCGAAGGCAGGCCCTGCCTGCCACCTTGCTTTGAGCTTGGGCCTCTGGACTGGCCGACAACCCGTTCCTGTGAGGCCCTTCGCAAAGGAGGCTGGGAAGTGACCTTGGGCCAGGCCCGGCTCAGGCACCTCTTCAAGCGGGAGAAGCACTGCCACCCACCAGACGCGGCTCAAACCCAGGGAGTCTTTTCCTCTCTCCCATGTTTGCAAAGGGCCAGGTGCTGAAACTTTCTTTTCTCTCTTTTTTTAACTTTAATTTAAAAACCTCCTTCTGACTGCCAACAGAGCCCCTGCGTGGGCTTTTTTTTTTTTTCCTAGGCGGATATAAAAATGCATCTGGACCCCGAGCCGAAATGGCTCATTCTGAGCTCTAAAACACTCGCTCAGCTGGCAAGGCAGGGAGGTGGCGGGCGGGGGGCCGGGAGAGGAGCTGGTGGGGAGCCCGGCATGGCCGATATTCCAGCCGGGCGCAGGGTCCCCCAGGAGCTGCTTCCTGGGGACGTGCCAGGCAAGACATGGCATCTGGTGGCTGCTCGGATCTCAACTCTGGGAGGGAGGAGGTGAGACTCCAGGAAGGAGGCCCGGGCAAGACACCCACGGATGGAAGCCGCTCCTCCTTTCCTGGGCTTCAAAGGGCCTGTCTGTGCGCATGCGTCTCTGTTCACTGGAGGATTCCCTAAAGGTTCCTTCTCCCGCTCTGTACCCTGGAGGGGCCTTTCATGATCAGAGGCGCTGTGTGATGCGGGGAGAGCTTGCTGTCTCTGAGCAGCAGTAAGGAATGGAGAGGATTTGGCGAGAGTCTCGGGCTTACCCGGCCTGGCACGTGAGAGCACTGAATGTGGCCTGTTGCCACTACCTGTGTCCGCCTTCGTGACTGTGCGGGGACGGGGGTGGAGGAGGGGGGGGGAGAGGAGCGACGGCAGGGTGGACATAGAAGCCCTTTTGTGTTTCCACTGAGAGCTCGGTATGTGGTTCTCCCAAAATAGCAGCATCGCCCCAGCCCGGCCGGTCCCCACAGGTTAATGAAGGGACCGGGGCTTCCTCCCGCAGCCGGGTGAGGACAGCTAAAATTGGCCTTGGATAATCCGGCGTAATTGGGTTTCATTAGAAGGGCACAAGGAAGCTCCTTGTTTGTGAGGTCCCGGGGCAGGAGGGGGCAGGCCTGGTTTCGGGCCACGCCACCTTGCCACGGGCACAGGCTTGGGGTGCGGGTGGGGAGGGATCGTGGCCTCCTGCATCCTTGCCTGCATTTCCCTGAGGATGTCGCTGAGCTGGTGTGGCCGCGCCTGGCGGCCATCTTTCAGGGTGGAGGAAGGTGCTGGAAGGTTGTTAGCACAGTGCTGGGCTGATAGGTCCACAGCCTCTTGGGGAGAGCGACGGCCTCTCCAGGCGACAAAAAGGCTGCTCTGTGCCTCTGGCGAGACTTCTGTCCCAAGGGGCCGAGCAGAGTGGCCCGTACCTCCCTGGGAGGTCGAGGGGGGGAGGGGAGCCCTGCCAGCCAGCCTGCCCCAAACCACCTGTACCCAGGGACCCGGGATGAGTGGGTCCTAAGCCGGCCAGGAGGCCCACGTGTGCAGAGCGGCGCCCCAAGAAGGCAGGCACAGATCTCCCCGAGCCCAGGTGTGCTAGGGGAGGGTCCGCCGCATGCCCTGTCCGCACAGCAGCAGTTCCTGCGCTCTGGGGACAGACCCTGCCCTCTGTCGTGAAGCCTCGCGGTGGCTTGTCAGCCTCCTCCGGCCCCAGTAGGGCTGGAGTCTGCCCGCCAGGGTGGCACTGGGGCTGGGGTAACCCAAGCTCCCTGTGTAAGTCGAGGCGACCCCTCGGGTCCCCCCGGGAATGCGCTTCCTGCACAAACACCCATAGGCCCATTTCCAGGCATGGGTGTCCAAAGGCTCCCGAGGCCCTCAGGGCCCACACAGGAGGCAGACATTTGAACTCTAGTGCCCTTTGCCCTCCAGGGCCCTGGGTGGGCCTCTGTGTGCAGGGTGTCTGCAGGGGGGCCGTCGGCAGAGCTGCTTGCCCCTGAGGGGTGCCAGGCAGCATTGCTACTCTGAGTGGCTTATACTGATTCTAGATCATTAGCCCCACGAATGTGCTGGCTGGGCCAGAGTCCCTGCCTTGAAATGCAAGCTCAGGATTCAAACCATTTTCCTTTCCCCGTGGGCCACGATGAGAAGACCCACACCAGGACAGGTGTACCGGAGCTCAGCCAGGGACACGGGTGCCGAGCACAGAGACCACCCCTCCACCCTGCTCCCCGCGGCGCCATCTCCTGGTAGAGACTGGGGTAAGAACATTGTCGGGGTGCCACGCGAAACGCCCCCCCCCGCCCGCCCCCTACACTCAGCATTGCCGGGACAGGGGTGGGGTGGGCTTGGGCACGGAGCCCACCCCGCATGGTGGGGAGGTGAGAAATGAGAGAGGGAGGGGAGACGCTGACTGGAGACCCCACGATGAAGCCGCAGTGGAGAAGCTCTGCCCGCCAACGCCAGCCGCCAGGGCGCCTCCCGCCGCCGGCCCCCCAAGCGTTTATTTAAGCCAACACATTGCTCTGCTAATTGGATAACATTCCATGTGAAAATAGACCTTTTAAAACAACAGCAGCGACGGCAAATAAAAACAGCTGCAACCGCCAAAGTACTGCATGGAGGGCTGGGGAAGGGGGGAAAAATTAAAGGCGCCTTGCACGGGGCGCGGGGGGGGGGGGTATGGGGCGCGGGGGGGGCACGGGGCGCGGGGGGGGGGGCACGGGGCGCGGGGGGGGCACGGGGCGCGGGGGGGGCACGGGGCGCGGGGGGGGGGCACGGGTCGCGGGGGGGGCACGGGGCGCGGGGGGGCACGGGGCGCGGGGGGGGGGTACGGGGCGCGGGGGGGGCACGGGGCACGGGGGGGCACGGGGCGCGGGGGGGGGGCACGGGGGCGCGGGAGGGGATGGATGCGCGGGGGGGGGCACGGGGCGCGGGGGGGGCACGGGGCGCGGGGGGGGGTATGGGGCGCGGGGGGGGGTACGGGGCGCGGGGGGGGGCACGGGGGCACGGGGGGGGTACGGGGCGCGGGGGGGGGCACGGGGTGCGGGGGGGGGCCACGGGGCGTGGGGGGGGGGCACGGGGCGCGGGGGGGGTATGGGGCGCGGGGGGGGGTATGGGGCGCGGGGGGGGTATGGGGCGTGGGGGGGGGCACGGGGCGCGGGGGGGGGTATGGGGCGCGGGGGGGGGCACGGGGCGCGGGGGGGGGGCACGGGGCGGGGGGGGTATGGGGCGCGGGGGGGGCACGGGGCGCGGGGGGGGCACGGGGCGCGGGGGGGGGGCACAGGGTGCGGGGGGGGCACGGGGCGCGGGGGGGGGGCACGGGGCGCGGGGGGGGGGTACGGGGGCACGGGGGGGGCACAGGGTGCGGGGGGGGCCACGGGGCGCGGGGGGGCCACGGGGCGCGGGGGGGGCACGGGGCGCGGGGGGGGTACGGGGCGCGGGGGGGGGGGTATGGGGCGTGGGGGGGGCACGGGGCGTGGGGGGGGCACGGGGCGCGGGGGGGGCACAGGGTGCGGGGGGGGGGGTACGGGGCGTGGGGGGGTACGGGGCGCGGGGGGGGCACGGGGCGCGGGGGGGGGTACGGGGCGCGGGGGGGGCACGGGGCGCGGGGGGGGGGCACGGGGCGCGGGGGGGGCACGGGGCGCGGGGGGGGGTACGGGGCGCGGGGGGGGCACGGGGCGCGGGGGGGGCACGGGGCGCGGGGGGGGCGCGGGGGGGCACAGGGTGCGGGGGGCCACGGGGGCACGGGGGGGGGGCACGGGGCGCGGGGGGGGCACGGGGCGCGGGGGGGGGTACGGGGCGCGGGGGGGGGCACGGGGCGCGGGGGGGGGCACGGGGCGCGGGGGGGGCGCGGGGGGGGCACAGGGTGCGGGGGGGCCACGGGGGCACGGGGGGGGGGGCACGGGGCGCGGGGGGGGGCACGGGGCGCGGGGGGGGGCGCGGGGGGGCACGGGGCGCGGGGGGGCACGGGGGCGGGGGATGGATGCGCGGGTTTCCGGGTGGCCTGTCTGTCCTTTGTGCCCTTCTCACCTGTGTGGCCCCTTCTAGAACCTCCGTAGCCAGCCCGGGCTGGGTCAAGACAGGAGCAAGCAGCTTTCGAGGCAACAATGCCTGGTGGGCAGAGGGCGGGGCCACCCCTGGCTGAGCCCCCCAGCTGCTTTGGGGACCCGCCGTGTGCCCTCCCCCCACGCCTGGAGACCCAGGCAGGCGGGCGTGGAGAGCTGGTTCTCTATTCAGGGGGGAAGCCAGGCTCTTCCCAGCTGTTGGGTTCACCTCCTTTGGGCCTTTGGGCCTCAGTTTCCACAACTGTCAAGGGGCTTCCTGCTGCCTGTTCCTGAGTGCTATGAAGATGAATACTGTCCTGGCCAAAGATGGGACTCAGCTCCCAGCTGCCTCCTTCCTGCGCTGATACAGCGGCCTAGAGCCCCGCCCAGGGCCCCAGCCCCGGCCCCTTCCTCCTCCCTCCCTCCCCAGTGCCCCGTCATCACACCTGGAGACTCAGATAGCAGCGCTTCTTAGCGGCACTGACATTTACTGCCCGGGACACTGGGGGCTGATGAAATGTCCTAGGCTGGCAGAATTTGCCAGCTCATCGATCGGCTTCCTGCAAGCAGGGTTCGGATCACCCTGGCCTGTGTCCAGGGAAGATGGCCCAGGGCCCACCCCCAGCTTCTCAGTGGGTTACACAGCTGGAGTCCCACGGGGTGTGTGTGTGTGTGTGTGTGTGTGTGTGTGTGTGTGTGTAATTTGGGGAAGAGGACGCCACGCAGAGCCCCTCCTGATCTCGGCCATGGCCATCACCGGTGCGGGGAGGAGCCCGTGGTGAGCCGTGTGTGAGGGGCCTCCCTGCCCCCACTCAGCACCTCTGGGGTCCTCTGGGGACCTGCCACAGCCTCCATTCTCCAGGTTGGGCTATGAACTTGACCCAGAAGCGGGGGTCTGACGGACCCGAGTCCCTGGGGACATGCCAGGTGGTCTCATGGAGAAAGCACGAGAGCTCAGGGTTGACAAGGACAAGCCCAAGCTCGAGGCTGGGGGAGAGGGGAGAGGGGAGGCAGGGGGAATGGAGAGGGGAGGGAGAGGAGGGATGAGGGGGGAGGGGAGGGAGAAGGGAGGGGAGGGAGAAGGGAGGGGAGTTCCCGCCCTGCAGGTCCCACCCCACCAGTGACCACTATTTCTGACATTCAGTGTGTGGGGAGGGGCAGCCGGGGCTCTGGGTGGGTTCCGCCCGCTGACTGGGAGTGGGAGGGACCGAGGGAGGAGCGATAGCAGGTTTGGAGAAGCAAAAAGAGCAGGGGAGCTTGGCTTGGCAGAAGCCGCTGGAAGGCTGGGTGGGCACGGGGTGCGCCCTGCACGGGGCTGGCAGAGCGGGCCGCGGCCACGGCGGGGTTAAAAGCAGCGCCTGGTGAGGTGCCGGGCGGGAGAGCCAGTCCACATCGCCAGCGGGGGACCTGCCACGCACGGCACGTGCACCCCGAGGACCCCTGCCCTAGCCAATACCAAGAGCCCAACGGTCCAGCCCGGCAGAGGGGCCCGTGTGCCCAGGCGGGAGCCCACAGCAAGCGTGGGCTCTGCAGCGGCCCTGTGTGGAAGGAGGGCCTCCAGCCGTCGCCCCGAGTCCAGACACCCCCAGACTCCTTAACCTACCAACCGAGGACGCCTGCGCGGTGGGATGGTTCCTACATCAGCTCTGAGACCTGTTCCACCAGGGGGAAACTGAGGCACATGGCCAATGATGGGAGCCACACAGCAGGTGGGGGGGGGGGCTGGTTTACAGCCTGCATGTCATCCACCAGCCTTGCCACCGCTTTCCAAGGCACGGCGCCCGGCTCAGAGTCTCACAGGGACCGCGGGACACCGCCTGCTCCCTGCAGCTAGCGGCACCCCAGCAGCCTGCACCGCCTCTCCACGCTCCCTGCGGTGGCCAGACCCCTGGGCGGTGGCCAGACCCCTGGGTGGTGGCCAGACCCCTGGGCTGAGGGGGACCCGAGCTGAGGCAGGGAGGACACAGCCACCAGGCGCTCACCATGGGCCTGGAACTCTCCAGGCACGGGGCAGCAGGTGGCACGTACTCTAGTGTGTGCAGAGGACGGACACACACACACACACACACACACACACGCACGCACACGCGCACACACACCACACACGCACACACACACACACGCACACAATCTAGTGAGGGGCTGGGTTGTGCAAATCAGCATGGCGTCAGAGAGCGGAGAGAAGTTGTCGAGGCTCCCTGCTGACCGGCCCCCCTCTCCCGAAGGCCCCCCCCCACCCCGACTGGAAGGAGGGCAAGGGAGCGGAGCGAGCGGCACCTCACCTTGGCATCCTGCTTGGTGAGGAAGTCCACAAAGCCGAACCCTCTGTGGGCGCCGGTCCCCGCCATCTTCTTGGGCAAGCGCACCGTCTTCAGCTCCCCGAAGGTGCTGGAAACAAACGGAAGGCAGACGTGGGATCAGAACCGAGGCCTGCGGAGGGAGCTGCCCGCGTGTGCTCCGTGGCGGGGGTGGGGGGGGTGGCGCAGAGCCTTCGGTGCGTCCCCAGCAGCTGGGGGGGATCTTCCTGTGAGGTGACCAGCCCCCCCACCCCCTGCTTCTGACTGTACTCTGCCAGGGAGAGGGGCTGCTCACGGGGTCAGTGGGGTGCCCCTCCATTCCGGGCCAGGTGCGGGGATGCCCCATGCTGGGAGGGCAGGCGCGGAGCCCTGGTGTCTAGCCCCAGGTCGAGGCCGGGCAGGTGCCCTCGAGGCTGCGCCACACAGCGCCTCCCTGTAAGCCCGGAGTCCCCTCTCCAGGGCTTTCCTTTTGATACCTGCTAAGCCACAGCCAGGCAAAGCTCTGGAGAAGAAGATGGCCCGGGCTTTCCTTAGAGGAATCAAACAGGTAAACATGGGCTCAGTCACCCCTGGGCTGCCCCTGTCCTCTCCACTGAGCTAGACCGTGGAGGGTTCTAGCACCAAGGGGCTGGGCTGCCTCAGGGTCTCCCGCCCGCGCCCACCACCGTCTAATGTCCATTTATCCAATCCATACTCCCGGGTTGCTACCGATAAATATTTAATGTGCATGGCATCCGAAGAGAGGTATTAGTTTATTTGAAAATCTACACACACTGATGGCCACCCGACACATACAACAACCTCTCTCTCCCTCCTTCCCTCCCCTGCCGGTCTAGGAGGCTCTGGGCCACAGACGGATCAGGTAAGGAACACAGCAAAGGCCTCGAGCTCTTGTGAAATGATATAAGCTAAATCCGAGACGTTAACCCACGGCCCCGCCGCATGACCAGGCATCTGCCAGCCCCATTTCCGGAGGCAGGACGGTGTGTAAATGCAGCATTATGAATCCTCAAAATGAACCTGCACGTCTCCTCCGGCTCTGCGGCCCTCCCTGTGTCCCCCCCCTCCGTGCGTCCAGCTGATGACAGGGCCGGCCTCCGGGGAAGGGGAAGAGTGGGTGTGGAACCGGCCAGCTCCCCGCTGTGAGGCAGCTCTTGGCCGATTTAGATTTAGAGTGGCCCGGGTGGAGGACCAGACACAGGGCAGGTGGGGTGAGATGGAGGCCGGAGCACGGCCCACAAACCCTGCTCTATGCTGCCACCTAAAGGCCGACCCGGCCCCTGACACGCAGGGCCTCGGTCCCTGCGCTAATCCCCAGGTCGGGGACACAGCAGGACACAGCAGGGCAGGGGTGCACAGATCTGTTCCTTGCTTGCACAAATGGTTCTTTGACTCCGAGTCACTAGGACATGAGGGATGGAGGCTGAGAGCTTTCACGCCTGGAGTATGATGGCGCTGATGAAGAGTGTGGGGGTCGGGCAGGTGCTTCAACCATGGGCCCTGGCCGCCTCTGGGGCTTAGCTCCCTCCCGCCCCCCCCCCACCCCCACCTCCCAAGGCTAGGCTGACATCACCCTGCACCGACAAGAGCCGGTTCCCTGGGGTTGGAGGCCCCCGTGAGAGAAGAATAGACATAGATCTTTGTGGCTCGGCCAGAGGAAGTTTTGGCACCAACAGAGGAGGCAGTGGTAACCATGAAGGTGGATGTGGTTAGTGATAACTCACCCCTGCCCACAGAGCGGGGGTGAGGATGACTAGGGACGCGTGGCTTGTCTGTGGCCCCATTTCCCAGACCGAGAAGCTGTCGGGAGCAGCAACAGTGCCTGCTAGGAAGTGGTGGGATTTGAACGGGATGCAGGCACCAGCCTGCTATGTACACCATGCTTCAACCTCCCCCCCGCCTTGAACAGGGACCAGTCATTCCCAGGAGCTGGGCACCACTGGGCCCGGGGTGCGGCGGGAAGCCACCTGTGGGAGCAGCTGAGGGAGCCCCACACATCCGGTGGTCTGCCCAGTGCCACGGGGCCCGCAGGGGGCAGAGCCCAGCTTCCTCCACGGGCTGCGTGCACACCACCCGCCCTGCCCTGGGGGTCCTGGGCTCCGGGTGAGGACAACCAACACCCTCTGCCCAGGTTTCTTAGCGCGGTGTATCTGTGCGTGCACGTGAGAGAGACGGAGAGGCTGACTGTTGAGGCTCAGTCCTGTCTCTCTGCGGCGTGCTGTAACTGGGGCGCTTCGTGCATGGAGATAGGCGAGGGAAATAATTAAAAGGTGGAGAAAGAAGCTGGTGACGAGGTTCCCGTGGCCCGCGGAAGTGGCTTTTGTGGGCTCGGCGGGGGGAGCCACGTCGGAGGATGCCTGAGCTGCCACACGGCTCAGGTCAGGGCGGCCATGGCGGCTTTGGGAGAGCACGGCTCCAGCTGAGCGGCAGTGTGGGATTAGGGTTAGCTCTGAGAAGGAACTTCCCAAAATGCACAGCTGAGACTTCAGGGCACCCCCCCCCCCCGCCCCGCTGGGCCTCTGGGCTCTGCCCCTCTCTGGGCTGTGTGCCCACCCTGGGGACAGCAGTGCTGCGGCCTCCCCGTGACAGGGCTCAGGAGGGCGCCTGCCCAGGGACACTGCACGGGGACCCGTGGCCTGCCCCGGGACACTGCACGGGGACCCGTGGCCTGCCCCGGGACACTGCACGGGGACCCGTGGCCAGGCCCGGGACACTGCACGGGGACCCGTGGCCAGGCCCGGGTGCGTGCCTAACGATCACAGAGAGCCAGCGAGAGAGAATTCGAAAGAAAGAAAATAAGGGGGGGGCGGGGGGGGGGGAAGCGGGGGAGGGAGGTGGAAAAAAAAATCGATGAAGTACCTTTAGCTCCTTGGCGATAAGCGACATATAACTAGCAGCCATTACGAAGGTCCTTTTCTGACTGCCAAGTCCACAGGGCCATTTTTAAGAGCAGCTCCCGAAGGAAGTCCCTCTGCCCGCACCGTCTCTTGGGGGGGGGGGCATGGGTGGGGGCAGGGTGGGGGAGGGGAGGCCGGGCAACCAGAGGGCACCTGGGGACTCCTCCCCGGCCCGTGGCATGGGGGGGGAGGGGGGGCGGGCGGCCCGGGCTTCCCCGCTGCGAGGATAATACGAAGCACAAAATAGCAATTACTGTATCCGAAGCTGTGAATAAAGGGGCCAGGCCGGCTCGCTCTCCCCCGACGCGCGCTCACACTTCCCAACAAACTCACACCTCACTTTTCCAATTATTCCATTCACCCCGGGCTCACCAATTACCCTCCCCGCACCCCGCCCCGCGGCCCCGCCCCTCTGCCAGGCCTGCGGCGGGCGTGATTGGTGGTGGTGGTGGGTGGGGGAGGGACGTGTGTGTGTGTGTGTGTGTGTGTGTGTGTGTGTGTGTGTGTGTGTGTGTGACAAGTGGAGTTTGTTGTCACGTTTCTAATTTCTTCCGCGGGGGTGGTGGTGGTGGTGGCGGTATGTGTGGGGGGCGGCGGGGGCTCCAAGGTGTGGAGGGGGGGCAGTCAATTACGCCTGGCCACCATAAACAAGTCAGGCTATGCAAAACATGTTTGCACACAGGCCCCGCCATCCCCGGCGGGCGGGGGAGGGGCTCCTCCCTCTGGACAAGCCGAGTCCCTGCTCCGCCCCGACCGACCCCAAGGATGGGGGGCGGGGAGCATGGTCTTCCCCGACCGACCCCAAGGATGGGGGGCGGGGAGCATGGTCTTCCCCGGCCGCACCCCACCTGGGCGACATGTGGGGTGTGGGGTGGGCGGGGCCTCCCTCACCTGCCTCAAGGCATTGTTCTGGGAGTCGGTGTCCTCCCCCCCCAGGACTGGGCGTTTTAGATGAGAACGCACTGCGGCCAGCACCCGTGGCCAAGTCTCTTGGCATTAGGAAGCCCTGCAACTACACCACAGGCTTCCTAACTGCCTGTGGACGCAGCCCGGCAGGTGCCTGTTGGGCCTGCGTGGGCTCTGCGTGGGGCCGCATGGGGCCTGCGTGGGCTCTGTGGCCCGGGGCTCCCACCCATCACCCTGGCTCCCCACCACTTCCTGCCGGGGCCTCAAGGCAGTGCCTTCCTCTCCCTCTCCCTCCTCCCTTGCTCCAGAGAACCTGAGCTGGCCTTCCCCTCACTCCCTGCGCCACCAAAGACAAGTCTGCCCCATGGCCTTTGCACCTGCCCTTCGCATTACCCGGAACCTTCCTTCCCTAGATTTTCTCACAACAGACTCCTTGTCGTTCAGCTCTCGGCTCCGAGGCTGCCTCTTCCACAGGCCTTGCCTGTCTGGCCTCCTTAGTTAATGCTGCCTCCTGGTCCCACCAGCCCCCCATCCATCTGGCTCGCCATCTGAAGGGTGGGTTTGCTTATTTCCCCTATCCTTTGCTGGAAACTGGCTCCGGTTCAAGCACCCAGGGTTGTGACTGGCACTGGGATCTTCAGTGCTAGTGGAGTCAGGGCTCACCACCCCCCCCCCCCCGCCCCGCCCCGCCCCCGACCATGCAGGAGGCCAGCTCTGGGCGCAGCGCTGTCTGGGGTCCCAAAGTGCCTACATCTACTCCTGGGGTGCGTAAGTCCCAGCAGGATAGAGGGGGAGGCGTGGCCATGCGTGGGGGACGGGGGGATGTGGTGTGAGGGCGAACCGTGTGGAGCAGCCCGGGGCCGCCTCGCGCGGGGGAGGCGCTCGGTCATCTGAGGGACCCACAAAGAGCTGGAACCTCTTCCTCACCGTCCTCTCCCCACTCTCCACCGATCACCCACCGCTCAGCCTGGAAAGTCACCCCGGCACCAGCCGCGCCCCACTCCTTCCATTCTTGCCTCTTTCTGGGGGGCTGAAAATGGCTCTGCTCCCGAGGAGGTGGCAGAGGAGCGTGGGGGGGCCTTGCCAGGCAAGCGTGACCCCTCGTTTTCTAGATGAGGAGTCCTGGGGATGAGTGGGTAAATGGCTCTGCGCTGAGTTTGGGTGCATTCCCGGTGGCCACCACAGAATCCGGAGTGGCTCTGGGGGCCTGGCTCGGGGCCCCACCCGCCCACTGGGAGGAGGTGGGAGGGAGACGAGGGAGCCGGAGGAGGAGGGAACATGGTGCGTG